CAGTGGCTAGGGCACCAGCCACATACACTGGAGCTGGCGGGTTTGAATCTAGTTCAGGCCTGCCAAACAACTACAACCAAAAAAAAAAAAAAGCTTGGGCATTGTGGCAGGCCCTGTAGACCCAGCTACTTGGGAAGCTGAGGCAAGATAATCGCTTGAGCCCAAGAATTTGAGATGCTCTAACCTGTGATACCATGGCATTCTACCCATTGAGACTGTCTCAAAAAAACAAAAATAGTGACCAGAATTGTAGAGAGGGTGTTGGAGGGTGAACCAAGATATAGTGACATTGGATGTATAGAAATGTCAGATTTGGGGGGTGGGGGCAGTGACTGTGGCTCAAAGGAGTAAGGCGTCAGCATAGACCCGTATGCCAGAGGTGGTAGGTTCAGACCCAGCCCGTTAAAAAACTGCAAGAAAAAAAAAAGAAAGAAGCCAGATTTTCAGTTTAAGGCAAGCATAATTCCAGTTAACTCAGGAACATGAGATGGGATTACATGAAGCCCAGAGTTTGAGACTAGCCTGGGAAACAAGATCCATAGGTTTTTTTTTTTGAGACAGCCTCAAGCTGTTGCCCTGGGCAGAGTACCTGACATTACAGCACATAGCAACCTCCAACTCCTGGGCTCAAGCGATTCTCCTACCTCTGCCTCCCAAGTAGCTGGGTCTACAGGTGCCTGCAACAAGGACTGGCTATGTTTTGGTTGCAGCCGTCGTTGTTTGGCAGGCCTGGGCTGGATTCGAACCTGCTCAGGTGTATGTGGTTGGTGCCTTAGCCGCTTGAGCCACAAGCACTGAGCCAAGACCCTTAGCTCTTAAAAAACATTAGCTGGAAGGCAGTGCCTGTGGTTCAAATGAATAAAGCACCAGCCCCATATACTTCATAACCTGGCCCAGCCAAAAACTGCAAAAAAAAAAAGTATCTTATTCCTATAGGCTGGGACAACAGTGTTGTAGGAAGACTGCTACAACCTGGAAAACTTGTATGGGGCAAGTTGAGGACAAAGGTGATCCTTAAATTTAATAATGCACGAGTTCAGATTTTTTTTGAGGCCGTCTCACTTCCACCTTTGCTGAGTGTCATGGCCTCATAGCTCACAGCAACTCCTAAGTCTTGGGCTCCAGTGATCCTCTTGCCTCAGCCTCCCACAATTAGCTGGGACTACAAGTGTCCTTCACAAGGGGGTCTCATTCTTACTCAGACTGGTCTTGAACTCCTGAGCTCAAGCAATTTACCCACCTCTGACACCCAGAGTGCTAAGATTACAGGTGTGAACCACAGTGCCCAGCCCTTTAAATATTTTTAATTTGGGATAGGGAGGAAGATTAGAAGTCACAGAAAAAAGGGTATATGCACTTTATACCTCTAACACATACAGGATACTGATAGGTAAGCATGTGGATGAGAAGCTCTGAACACAATTTCAAGCTTTCTAGACCATCCAAGAATCCAGGTTAAAAACTTAACTGATTTTCCTAATAGAAGAAAAAAACCCACTCAGCAGCACCCCACATGATTTGTAACTCCAGGGTTGCTACCCCCTCACATGGCCTCTGCTGCTTCTTGCCACATCCCCATTCCCAATGGAAACCTGGTGGAAAAATGTGCCCCTACTACAGAAAGGCACAGCCTGGGCCTTCAGGGAAATAGAATTGTGACCAATAGGGATTCCACTGTATAGTGTAATGACCCTTTGTGGACAGAAGGACATAGAGGTAAGGAAGGGGTTGCAGCCATTTGTTTTGCTCAGGATAGGGAACCAGAGAAAAAATAGCCATATACTGACAAAAGAGACACAACAAATGGAATAATGAAGGTTTATTACATGAACCAAGACAGAAGAGAAGAAGGCTTCTTGCCTGTAGCACAGTGGTTACAGCACCAGCTGCATGCATGAATACTGGTGGGTTCAAACCCAGGACCAGCTAAAGAATGACAACTTCAACAAAACAAAAAAAAAAAAAGAGGAAGAATTATTTGCCTTTCCGGGCCTTGATTTTCCTCAGATAGAACTCCAGCTCTTTGCCCTCTAGCACATAGCCATCTGCTCGGCCACACTGGCCTGGTCTTGATGCAATGCATGC